GAGCACCAATCGATTACTTTGAGTTCCATCGATTCTCAAACAGATGTCACATTGCAACATAGGACAGCACATGCCAGCGATATCTCCTCCATCAAGTATCAATCACAAATCCTTGGCATGGATGGGCTCACTGTATCCATACCGGATTACCACGAATCTATTCATTCCAAACTCGAGCCAGGCCTTCGAGCGAACGGTCTGCCTATGAACTCCACAGTATCCCAACAGGTCATTTTGCTTCCTCTGTCGAAAGAATACGAAATGGAGTCGGTCGCAGACGAGTATCTCGTAAACGGTACAGAAGAAATCTCGCTAAGCGACAGTTCCAAATCTCAATATGCGTGCGTTTTATCGTGAGCCTACTCTGTTTCAAACACCAGTGTGAACCACAAAATGTGGCTGCATCAAACATGTGATATCCCCCTCCGTCCCTTTGTCCATGTTGCTTTTATTATTGGGATAATTTTCCTTTTTCCAAAAAAAGAATAACGATTTCACTTGGTGTCATTCTGAAAGTCTAGTATTTTCATCACATTCACGAAAAGTACGATTCATTCCCCAGGGTTCGTGCTTCTGTCCAGGTGAGATTGTTTGAACTTAAACTGTGAATGACTTCTTGATTTTTGAGACGAGTCTAATAGATGGACACCTGGAACTTAGCTGGATATCCAGATATAACGTGAATAGTAGCAGTAAATCAGGGTGGATCATTATCTTCCACTCAATATTCGAAACTATATTCCCTCTTCAGAGTGATTTAGAAATAACGAAGTTCGGTCTTCTTCGGTAGAGCTGAGTTTGTAAGCTGATTCAAAATAGTCCCTACCCTGTGAGTTCCATGCACATCCAGATAGCATTGTCCCAGATATTGCTGTTACTGCAAAGGTTGCTGGAAAGAGACTAGAATTACCCGTGTCTTTTTTCTTATGTTGCATTACGTGTTGAACTTCAGGCAGATAGATCGTCCTTTATAATTGCGCCGATAGTAGTAAATCCAATGCCTCCTTGTGTTTTCATCGAAGACTTGGGTACGAAATCCTAAACAAAGGAAAAAGCGGTACCCCCAGCCGGTTTACATGAAAATTGGAATTTTCTTATATAAGCAGCTCTGTATTTCCTATGTTGTTCACTTCACAAATTGAAATAATTTTCGTTTCTTCAGTATGCTTTCAAGACGGCTTCCACTATTTCATTGCATCTTTCGTCCAACAGACCGTCGCATGCTGAAATTAATATGTTATGCATCACTTGATGTCTTACAGAACTGCAGGTCAAGTACTTGGCATCCGTATACTTTTTCTCCGTTGACTATGACCTCCAAAACTCCACGTATGTCTGGTATCTCTTCTAACACCACATTATGTCCGTTCTTTTCTAGCTGACCTGAAACGTTGTTTGCTAGGTAACATGGATCAACTTGTACACTTTAATCCTTGTAACCTGTGAGTCCGTGGTGTCACAACCCCAGCTACTTCATACATTCCATATCTGAGGATGACCGTGGCATTTTGGGGCATCTTCGACAAAATCCCAGGGTCTTGTGTACATAGGGCGATCAGCCACCTGCAAAGAGTGAAAATTCCAAAAAGTTACCTCTTCCAAAGACAAATCGCTTAGTCGTGCTACATCTGGCTCGACAACTTGTTGCGTCTGAAAAATTCGAACCCAGTTGCAATAAAACGGTGTATACATAATACGGCGCAACCTAAAGCACCGGTACAACGAATTCGCTAAGAACTCACTCAATGAATTGGAAATGAGATAGGACGGACGACAGTGCGGTACAAGTCGGTTGGCATGTGACTTTAGTCCGATAGGGTGATCACATGCAGTGCCAAGGGAAGGCGAATATATGCAGTTTATGTGAACTTATGTGACCAAGTTGTCCTTGGTCTGGCACACAGCTCGTTCCTGCGTTTGATCTGCTAAGTTATTGATTGCCCCTACATATACTGTTCTATCAATGAGTTGCCTCTAAAATGTGCACCTGACGAACAACACATGGAAAGCAACAAAACACGCTCAAGTCTTGCTGTCTGAGACCGTACGATCAATGGACTGCCGCCGTCGTTTGGACGGTGGTGTTCATCTGCTTCTGTCTAATGGCTACTACGATTTCTCATCACTCTCTTTGGTTTTCCTGATTCAACCCGTTGTTTATTCTACACCATTTGGCGCCCAGTGCAGTGGCTGTTGCTGCCACAGTTTACGGTCCTAAATAGTAATAATAGTGATCGTTCAGCTGTAACACCTTTTCGATGCCCGCCTGCCGTGTTACTCAAAGGAAGCACAAGGACTGAGTTGCTGCCACGTTATCGGAGCTTAGACAGAAGAAGTCGGGATACCAAGGTTGGGATCGAATTACGGACCTTCCGATCAGTATTTTCGCGTCTTGACTGCTATCTCGATCTCCTAAAAATATTTTAATACGAATGCCAGTATTGTTGGCAAGCAGCAATATTGTTGGTTGGCCGCTAATCAACATTTTATTCAGAACTCGTGACAAAGGTTTTTTCGATTGCAATGGGTCTGCTTCTGTCAGAGCACTGAGTTTTGATGCTCTATAGTCTGCGCTTCTTCATTACCCATTTTGCAGGTTATTTTCTGTATGATAGAACAGCTGTTTTCTCTAAATAACGTGAACGTAGAACATGATACCGCTGTTTCGCCCGGTATTCCAGAGCTATTTCACCTTGACTCTTCAGGTGCTAACTACAGATTACCATGCCAAAGGCTTGTTCTATAGTTTACCACGGTAGTGCTGTCAAAACCAAGTCTTTCTGCTTACACAGACCCGACTTCCATTTTTGAGTGTCCATCGCCTCAGAATATCGCAGAACGCTACTGTTCGCTGTGCTAAATGCTACATCAAATGCAGTGACTAAATTTATGTGAAGTTTGCTCCTAATCAGACGATGAGCAACTGACAGCCTGAAGTGTCGGCTGTAGTTTCGTTGGCTTGAATGTTGTGTCGATGCAACTGGTTGGTCCAGCTGCCTTCGTACTATCAGCGGTACGTGCTCCCTTACCCCAGGACGTAGATGCCGTTACGTTCTGTACCCGCAAGTGAATCGGTTGTTGTTGTTGGGATCGGGCGGACAGAGGTAATAGAAACTTGACTTACGACATACTTCAAACGGAACTCGATAGCCTTAGACGTACTTTAGAGTCTAATTACTATATCGGGGTGTATGCAAGCACTCAAGCTGGTAGCATAGACATTGACCCCAAACTTGTCACTCTCACTAAACTACCGTTCAAAAAGGACATACGTCGTCCTATATCTGTATTGTAGAAGACCCCCTAAACAGCCATTTCGGTTTTCGGAAGAATATTCATATACCAATGTTACCAGTAAAAGCTCCGCAATCACCGTCCGCGAAATCGCATCAGAACCCACCGATTTACTGGATAGTCACCTACCTTGGCGGAACGGAACGACATCTACTATTGAGTGTGAAGGGTTTTACCCTGAGAGCACAGATGCAGGTATGATCTGTAGTACGCACCCGATGAGACAAAGAAGAAACTACGAAATATCGCGCAGAACTGCACACTTGTGTGTGGTGAATCATGTCTCAGTTTGTTCAGGTCAGTCAGCCAAGTCATTCTAGCTGCAAAACTCATCTCGAGATGCATCAATTCCAGGTTCTATAGGTTCATTCACCAAACATAAGGAGAATGATGTGAGAGCCGCGCGTTAGAAGCGATGATCCAGGCAGTCCGTTGGTTCGGCTTATCTGACATGATGGAGTGAGAGAGCTGTGGAGCGAGGGCAGTGGCTTTAATTGAGAATCGCTGTACAGTGTGTGGCAGCCATGTCTGCCAGGGTTAATAACCATGGTGTTGTCTCGTCCCCGTCCGGGAACTACCAGTTACAAACGCGACTGAATTGACTGTTAAGGGGTTTCGTACTTTGTTGACAAGTTATGGGCTGATAGACTCTGAGTCGTCTTCATCCGATACATGGATACAAAGACGAAAAACGTGAGCCGATATAGCCTGTTGACAGGGTTGTTAGAAAATACCACATGATCATGAACGGATGAAGAAGCCAGAGCCTGTGTACAGTGTAAGCAGACGCGTTTGTCATCGATTCGTCCTCGCCAGTAGAAATCCTAAGAAAGTGGGAAACTACGAGAAAATGAACGTCCTCCGTCGCCACAATACCTACTAACTGGTGAACCATGAAGAAAGTGTAATCTCTGTTATCTAGCTCACCTCCTTGTACTCCTTGTTCTCAAACGTTAGAAATATCACAGATGGTTCTGTATGACATGAGCAAATTTAACAATAGGATCGATCACATAAGTGCGCAAAGTTTTCTCATCACCAGGCAAAATATCACGTATCAGCGGCTGAAGCTCGTCTGATATTCTGGTGATTTGTGCTGGATAACCCTGAGGGGTTGTTACTGTCTAAAAGACAGATTGAGAAAGGTGAGTTTAGAAGTCTGGATAGCTTGATATTTGATAATGCTGTTGAACTTGGTGGTCTGGTTTCAAAAAGCGTTGCTATGATACGGATGTACTACTTTCCTTTGAACGACTGGAGATCATGGTGGCTCTTCTGTCTGCTCTCGAACATTGAGAGGTGGTGATATCTTCAGGTGCGTTCAAGTGCTACCCTGTTAATTTGTCCGAGATATCAGTCATTAAGCATCCCTGTTCGTATCTCCGTGATAACTCAGTTCGAAACTGCCAGTTTCTGCCGTGTCTTCTAACGGATGACAACCTGTTTTGGTAGACATCAGACAGCAGAAAAGCCTCCATCGGTGGTAGTGGTGATCTACTTGCCTCCGTCTGGTATGAAACCAGTTGCTTTTGACTATTGGGACACTGAGTGGACAGATTTAACGAATTTGTCTATAATCGAATCATGATACCCACTGTCACATACCACTGATGTGCAGTGGGTACTGTCGTATCCAATGGGGCCATGGCGGGGGGAGGTGAACCGTTCTCTGATATACGAAGTGCAGGGCGCAACCCGCGTAACTTGCGGGATGTGACCTGCTGGTCTAATAAGTAATAGTAACCTTTCCTGAAGGCCATCTGGTCTAAGTGCGCATTACTGATCCATAAGACCTGACCACTGCTTCACAGGCACCGACGGTAAAACAAAGTCTTCAAACCTCTTCTACGGCCACGTCTCTGATCCAGAAATTAATGCAGAGCGATCCGCCCACCACAGCCTGTTTTCAAAATCCTGTAAGTGATTTCGTCTTTCGGCAGTCCAGCTGTTCAGATAGCTAAACTTATCTACTAGATTGATCGATCACCTTCAAGCATGGGACGCTTTGTGATCCCACTCAGTCCTACAGTAGCACATTGCTAGTGTAAAGCGCATACCGAACTGTGCGGCCGAATTATTTTGGTTGTTCAGAATGGCTTGCATTTGTAAGAGGTCTGGTCCATGAAGAGTGATCGGCGTACTCGATGTCTGTGATCGAACGCCCTGCCATTATGTTGATCCTGAAGTTAGAGGCAAGCATGGTAGTCTCAAGCAGTGTGCCGCTTGAAAAGTTAAAGAGGAAGGGCGACAGAGGACACCCTTGCCTGAAGCTGTTGGCTTGTGATAGAGCATATTTGTTTTTTTTTCGGCCGCTTTAGACAATTCGTCTGTCACGGTCAACCTTTGGGTGATCGGAGTGAATAGTTTTTAGGGCCAAACTTTTCTAACCCACCCTTCTTCGCCGGTGACAAACATCGACATGGCCTGAATTGGAGGAAGCATCCTGCTACCTTCGTACTCTCTTTATACAGGATAATATGACCGCCTTCAGATCACTTCATTACAATTTTGCGCAGTATGGCGAATCACTGATCTTCGTTTAATCTCTCCTAGCACTCCCGGACCCTGAAGAACTGAACTCCATCCGGTTCATCCCGCGGGATCGTCACCGCCGAACCAGCGCAACAAGGTTACAACTCTAGGTCATGACTCTTACCACACTGTATTGGCCATCAGAGTCCACAAGCAAGGACAAGCTATCAGTTGAGCCTTCAGTTGGAAATTTGAACTGAACCTGTAGGTGTTATCCTGCGTTTGTATTCATCGTTAAGTGACACTTAATCAAAAAGCATGTGAGATGTGAAGCGTTTAGGATTCGGCCCAGTGCAAGCTAACCAATTTAGGATGGACGCATTTCTTAAACATAGTTTGGGGGACGTAACTAAGGAGACCGATAGTTGGTTCCAATAACTCACCACCAGACGGGTATCAAAGAATCGTGGCGCCCGACTGGTGAACCCTCGTTGTGAGCGTTTGACAGAGCGATATCCATAGGTGTTATTGGAGTAACCAAAAAAAAGATTCTGTTTGTTGGCTTCAGATTGTGTACCGACGGATATTCCCTAGCGGTTCTTACTTGTGGAACATGAGATGTGAGAGCGGCATGACGTGTTCAACGGGAGGATGAGTTTTATCGTCTGACAATTGATATTCTGTAGTAGTATTTCGTTTTAATTAAACCAAGGGAGACAATGAGGACTGTTGTGTCCGGAGTAGTGATGAAAAGAGGAGAAAAGGGTCGGGAAATTTGTCCCATTTAGATAGATTGACACCCTGTTGGTTGAAGGAAAATGAAGAGACCAAGAGAAGACCATATAGTAGTGTGGCTGTTTATGTACTTTCGGCAACCATTGAGCTATAGTGAAGGTACCCGTGCGACACTCGAAGTCCGTCATCCAAAGTTGGTCCAACACAGTCTCTTAGTCCGCCAGGTTGGGGTTAAAACATACGTGGCGACTTGTCCCTTAAAATTAATGTGCTGGCAATTCCCACCAAAACCGCCGCTCTGCAGTGAGGCTTTTGAGCATGAGGCTTTGGTTGAAAACCCTAGGTATCCTCCTGTCTAGGTTCAGACACACTCCTTATAGCCTCGTCTTCTCGGATTCGTGACCCCATTCATGTACATAGATCTATGTACATAGACTATTTACGGTCAACCGGCGCTGGTAGCCCCGCGCATCCCGAAGTCAGTCTTTAAGTTTCTATGCCGGGTTTACATGGCTGCTTTCGACGTTGCTGCTCTAAAAAAAGAGGAGAACAGGCACCCCTCGCGTGCAAACTAGATTCGTTTGACATTGATGTGTGCTGTGTATCAGGAACAAGATTCACCATCATATGTGTTGACACTTATTCCTCATTGCTGTACAACCACAAAGTTTATTCACTTACATTTAAGGTCTTGAAAAGAGAAATGTGCTAATGGGGAAGGAACCAGGTTCTACCGTAGAGCAAGTCCTCTGATCTGGCTGGACCCTCAAGTGCTCAATCAGACAGTCCGGAAAAAAGTGACGGCACGAAATTCACTGCCTTCCAGTAACCACCATTTTTCGCGATACCTCCGCGAAGCTCACCAGGGGGGCACGGGAACCACATCCTAGAAGCCGAACCGCACCAAAAACACCGGAGCTATTCGGAATCTCTTTTACACCCTCCTATCAAGTCACGCTGTCCAACTCGCAGTTTTCACAGCCGTTTAGCGAACTGCCTCATCAGTCTCCACTTGCTTCCGCTTGCGAACCTCTGGCGGTGTAGAGGTCAGTGCATCAGACTACGCATGGTCGGCATCGTTTTAAGTCATGGCGTCCGCAGCGTGCATCAATAGTCTCTGCCTCACCGCCTACGATTCTCGGAACTCATTCGGATTCGCGTCTATTTTCACTTTTTAGGGCCGCGCAAACTGCGGACAACCTCCGTAGTAACTGATGAACTCTCGGTTCCCAGCGTTAAACAAAGTCATCAGAACCGTGTTCTGGACTCTTGAATGCTCTACCGTTCAATGTTAATTCTCACTAGAGCGAAATTGCTACATCTTTTCCCAACGCCTGGAATTCCCTCCATGGCCTGACAACACAAGCCCAATCCAATCATCGGATGTTAGACAAAAAAAAAAGACTGAAATTCGGAGAAATGTTCCCACATGTGTGGAACGTTGTTCATAGGTCTTAGCGTGGACACCGAGTCTGGCGGACGCGGAAGGTAGAGAGAATTGAGGAATGCTGGAAACACCTGAAGATTATTCCACTTGACCCGTGAGGCTGCTCATACATAATCAACTGTGATCGAAATCGTCAGGAGCCAAACTGAACCGACCATCTTTATCAAAGAGGGGCACGCTGATAACTGGTTCCAGAAATCCTCATGATCTGTCGCCAACGATCTCTTGATCAGAATGATCACCCATCTGCATTATTAGGGAATGGGAACAAGTCATTCAGCGCTCGTCTAAAATACTCCCCCCTGCTTCAGGAAGGAGTTTTCCCCTTCCAGCTTGGGGATAATCGATGGTAATGCTGTTTTCAAAAGTGGAACCTTAGCGGGGCTGAAACAGCCTGGCACCAGTCGTTACGAGAATTTTGGCGTCATCAATCGCCTTATGGTAACCGTAGAGCATTGATTCGAGGGAAGCGAATAACCTTAATAAAAAAGAGCTCGAAGTACCTTAGTGTTTAAAGTACTGACTCACGGGAACCAAGCGAAATTTCGACCTTGTGGATGTTGCGTTGGCCACATCTTCACAATGTCATATGCTAGAGCAACGACATACGTACAAGAGACCACATATTTGATATTCCTGAATTTTCACGGCCTATCCGACTTTGCCGATCTGTAATATTTGTACGACTTCGTTCCTGCCTTAAAATTAGAATAAAAGACCGGTGGTTTTGGATGGATTACCTCGTCCTCTCTCATGGACTTTGCGCCCACAGATCGTAAGGACATGCAGTCGCTAAACAAGCTTCTTGCAGTCCAGTTTCTGAGGTTGTGGAGGGTTTGCTTATCCTGGAAGTTGTACAGAGGTTGATGCACCAATCTAAGGCTGAGGTCGCGTTTAGTGAGTTGAGATGCCTATGGCGGCAAGGCGGTATAACTCCGATTCTCTACAGAAGTCTGCATCAAGCTGGGGTACGGACTATTTTGTTGTATGATTGAGAGAATTGGCTTCCGCGAGCAGTGGGCATGGGAAGTCTTAGGATCCTCCATGACTTTTACTTCGTACTGTAGCTCGTATGGGATTGTTCCAATCAATCCGCAACAATATGAGTGTTCGTTCGTTCAACGTATTTTAATCGAAGAATGTGTCCAACATCAAATGCTGTGGTTTTTTGTCATGCCTTGAACATGTGGAACCACCGTCGGACGAAAAGATGCTAGCAGGATTCGGTCCGCGTGATCCCCCTGTATATAGTTAGTGGCGATCATCATTCTCAGCTGTAATAATGCGTACTTGTCGTACAGTGGTTGTAGCTGCCACAGTTTCGTTCACCGATGACTTGGGGAGGTGGGGTAGGTAGCTGCGCATTGGAGGCGGGAGCTGATAAATTAGTGCGTGATACAGCACTGTAGGTGAACTGTTAATTGGGAGAATTGGGAAGGGAGCTTTGCATTGAAGGCAATAGCTTGGATGTGCAGCACTTGTAAACTGCTCTTTTTCATGCTCAGTATCATCTTCTTTTTTCCCATCATTACCAGTCACATCGCTGTACAAAAGTTTGTTTTGCTGAAATACAACCGCTACCGCCGCGCGTTGGCTCCAACGTGACTTTGAGACTTCTGCTGAGTGACTGTTGTTGTGACCGCCGGTTAGCTATATCTGACCGCTGCCAATACTAAACGTGAACAAACATTTCAGCTACAAACGCTGGACTAATATATTCGCGCTTGTGGAATACTATTTCGATCACCGGAGATCTGGGATACCAGGAAGATAGAACTATTCTCTGTGTGGTGGTTCAACGGAATACGGAACTACGGAATCTCCTATTTTGAACTGTGAGTCAAGATTTACTTGTATTTTTCTCTTTGTGACTCTGTATCTGGCTTACACCAGTAATTTGTTCAGTTCACTAGAGACTCCATAGGGCCGTTAACCACTACA